CCTAATCCTACGCCCTGAGCATATACATGCGTCTCAATTGACTCTGTCCTGCCCGTGCCCTGAGCTCCCAGCCCTTCGCCTGCTGTCCAACCCATCTTGCCCAATAATGCTGCTCCTTTTGATTGAACCGGAGCTGCCAGCTCTTCATCGTTTGCTGAAGGTCCAGGACTATCTTTCGGTACTTTCTTTTGTGAAGCGGGCTGTTTTGGCTGGTTGAAAGCTTGTCTACGTTCTTTCGCTCGATCACGATAAGCAGAAGCATCAGTTCCAGCAGCTGCTGATTTCTTGAGCTTCGCGGTCGCTTTCGCAACAAGATCCTCATTCTTCAAGTTATCCCGATGGAGCTGGCTCAAACGTTCATGTTTGTTGACCTCAGCTTCGGACTTGAATTGCCGTGAGCAAAGCAAGCAACACTTTCGCTCCATATCCGCAAAGCTCTGCTTAGGCGGTGCCTTTTCTGCCTCCTTAGCTTCTTCTTCATTTGCCGACCCCGAGTCTTCTGCAGTCGCGGACGGGTCTTTAGCTGGTAATCCATGTAATTCTGCATGCCTATTGTTCCAGAATTGAAGATGAGGTGCAACAACAGTAGCTTCTTTTTCGGCTTTCCGCTTTTTAGATTTTGCGTCGTCGGGCTTCTTACCCTCCACAATACCTTCGTTTGCTCCTTTTGCCGCAGCGTTCGTCTGTTCAACTTCTTTAAATGTAGTCGGATCTGTCTGCTCAGATACGATAAGTTCACTTGCGTAGGCTGCTTCATCCCAGTACATCAATTTGAGAGATGGGTTTAACAGTGGACTAAACGTAAAACGAGAAGACTCGGGGCCTGTAGGATATAGCATCGGAACAAATACGCCAGCGTGTATGTAGGATACCATGACAGGCTTAGAAGAAATTGTGAACTTTTCTGCCGCATTGTATTTGGCCATAGCCGCCTTCGCATCATCCACAGTGTTGAACTCGGCAAATCCATATCTCCAGCTGTCGTTGGTTTTCCTGTCTCGGACTAACAGAACTCGCCGTAATGTTCCTTCGGGGGCACCTAGAGCGACATCTCTTGATGTGGAGGAGATTTTTGGCTTCTTCGCCGTGTGGACATCTGAGGAGGCGGTGCTTTCTTTGTTTTTGTAGAGTTTACTCACTCCCTTTGCAAGAATTTCTTCAGTTACGCTGGGTTCCAACCCTCGGAGCAGAAGGAACTGGGAGGCAGTATTGTCGGGAGAAACATCAGTATCCCCGGTAGTTGCAAGTCCTGAAAATGCGGACATTCGAGCCGGCGCAACGAGACCCTGTTGGGCAGCAACTTTGCTAAGTTAGTAAGGTTCTCCTCACTCCTAGAGAGGGACACCAACCAGTCCTTGGCGCATTACAGCGGAAACAGAGTGTCCTGTGCGGATAGTTTGCAAAGTTACACTGTAGACATCAGATAAAAGTTACTAATAGTCGAGGAGGTAGAACATACAACATCGCACATCCAGTCATCTTCGTTCCTTCCAGCAGGCTCGCGTTCTTCTCTTTCTCGACTGAAGGTTATGCGCACATATGCCGGAGCTCTCGAAGAATCTTGGTCGGAGTGAGACGGTCCATACAACCCTACTTTTGGATGAAACCGATCAAGGAATCGTGTTGCCTCGCCGATTGTGCTAAACTGAGCAAAAGCGAACTGTCTTGATAATCCTAAATTCCGTAAGAGATGGTAAATCCTAAGAACGAAGCAGGTCTCTTACCAGTCTTCTTATCTTTAATTAATCGTATCTCTTCAATACCATCAACATGAAGGCTATCTTTAAGCTCGTTTAAGATCTGTATAACACACAGCGGCCACAGTGGCCATTCCAATGCTTAGCCAGAGTCCACAAATATATTCTTCGTTTTAAAGCACTTAGGCTGTAATAGAATAATGATGACTAAGGTAGAAATTCCGCAAAAGGGGAAGGGGTAGGCCAACGTCTTCCTGTGTAAAATGCACCGGGAGTCCTTCAAGTATAACCGTTCGACTTGGCTGTCCCTTGTAAGACTGGGACCGAGCTGGACTGCGACTCCTGTGGCCACTCGGGGATTCATAATCCTCCCGATCACGATCGATGTAGCGATCTGATCCCCCGCGGTGTGAATATCTCGATCTCTCGGAGCCGCGATCATGGTCACGGTTGTACTGATCAGACTCATACCGATCTCGGCCACTGCGGTAATATCGGTCATCCTCGTATCGCCGTGAAGAATGGCTGTTATCTTATGGAGTCCTTGTTAGTATAGATCAAAATTACGTTCTATACCCTACTCCGAGTTACCTCTCGTCCAGGCTTGGTCCTCTCGTGAGTGTCGTTGAGGCGACTCATCTCGATATCTAGGATAATCGTCATACATAGTAGAATCGTGTCCCGAGCCGCGATTAGGACTCGGTCTAGAAGATCGTGGGCGATCCATCTGCGGTAGGTATCTCGGTAGAACGCGCTGCGAATATCGTTTGCGCAAGTAAAAGAGGGTTGAGATCTCGTGGGACAGCCTTGTGGTTCAAAGCTTCAGTGCCAAGACGGAAGTGGTAAGGCTAGAAGCGTCTATATTAGTCAGCAACCCCAAGCTGCAAAGTCATGTGCTTGCGCTCCATTCCATATCATAAGTCCAGCATAGTCAGACAAGCTGTGGTTGGGCACGATTTTACAATTTTTACAATAAATAATACCTTAAACGTATCATAAAGATTATTTCATCATTGTTTACATATTAGATAGAGCCAATGGCCAAAATTGTGCAAGAGGGCAATTGCTATGTCGCATTGACTCAGGACCATCTCGATGTTCAATATACCATGGATTTAGTGAGGAGTCCTAAAGCAGGCGCAATAGTTATATTCGCAGGTTCGAAGCCCTGCGAAATTTCTTGTGAACCTGGTTAACAGGCTCTGTTGTAGGCACTACCCGGGATAATTTTTCGGGAAAGCCTGTTAAGGAACTTCAATATACTTCCTATGAACCACGTGCTCTGCAGACAATGCTCTCAATATGTAAAAATATTGTTGAGAAGCATGGTATTACGTCAATTGCAATGATTCATAGGCTTGGTGTTGTTCCTATTGGCGAAGAGAGTATTTTAATAGCTGTGTCCTCGCCGCATCGTCAGGCAGGGTGGAGAGCTGGTGAGGAAGCTCTCGAGGAGTGTAAATCCAAAGTGGAGGTATGGAAGAAAGAGGAGTTTGAAGGTGAAGAAGGTGTCTGGAGGGCAAATCGAGACGGAGCCCAGGGTACCTATTTCAATAAAGATGAAAATGTTCAAACTGCTCCTGGACCTTAAACTCAGTGGTTCAGTAAATATATAATGTTATATATATATAATTAAACCGATATATTGAGAGGAATTTTGAGGTAATGAAAACTCATGATGGATTGAGAGAGGGATACCAAAAAGTAGTTCTTATCCTACTGTCATGAAGACCCTCATGATCCCTTGTCGATATGATTGTAGGGACCTCCCTAGGTTTGTGGTATTATCCTACATCTACATATACAAGTGAGATGCTGAGATAGCCTCAAGGCACAGAGTCTCTGTTTATGACTCTCAATGGCCTTGACTTTTCGTCCATTTCAAACCCCGGAAGACTCGGTGCAGCTGAGATCGATACATAGAACTCCTATAGCGCCGTACTTACCACAGTCCATTGCGCTAGGTGGCGCTCCTGGGGGGCAATCCGAACCTATTCTCCATGAAATGGTTCACAGGATCCATATTTAAAGGATTATTTCTCCTCGGTATCTTGATTCCATCTGATCTTCTCACCATGCTTTGTCTTGAGTTGCCCCTCCTCAACTCTTTCATCTTCTTGCATGTCCTGCTCCGATAATCGATTTGTAGCCCATACCCTCTCAATACTGAGATCAAAATCTCCTGGGATACGATCAATAAGTCCAATCCCTACCGTGCGGATCTTCTGCTTCAGTATCTCAGACTGCGGCTCTACAACCACACCATGGTTTGTCCGCACAAATTCGTTCCATTTGATGAGAATAGTTTCCCATTCTCCAGGCTTCCTTGCATATAATCTATGTTGATGAAGGTCTGTCGGTACAATCGAATCGGTTTGGAGATTTACGAAATACTTTCGTCCGTCCGATTTTATTCTGAGGGCGAGGTAGGCGTAGTGATCAACGTTCCAAAACGATTTCCCAAAGAGAGTGGGCCCTCGTTCAAGAGTCCGCCAAGCTGCGTAGCCTGTCCTCTGTATGTGGGGTCTGTTTGGAGGTAGCTCAATTGATATATTTCCATGGAATCTAGCATGACCGTAGGGATTTGCTATAGGTGAGGAAGTTGCGCCGGGTTGTGGCGGAACCCAATCGAGAGCTGCTTTCGAAAACCCGCCTGTATCTGAGTCGCAGATCACTTTGCATTCCTTAATTGATTCTGGTTCGTGGAAGGTCGCTAGGATATATGGCTTTGTAGCAGGCCTGGTGCCTTCTGCTGTAAGAGCTTCAGAGGGGCATGAGAGTTAGCTATAAGTTCCAAAGGCAAAGGATTGGTTAGATTTACCAATATTCGAAAGCCGTTTGAACTCATCCAAGCTTCGGCTAAGGAAGCCTTTTGCTAAATTGGGTGTCACTCTCATTGCTGGTTAGTTCCAGCGCATCACCGCAATCAGTGTGAGAAGGATTGGTGATGCAATATCGGAAAGTTACTTTGGCTTCGTACTCGTACTGTAAGCGAGTAGCCAATTGGCTGCCCCTCCATTCTGCTGTTGCAAAAAAGCTCCGATATTCACATAAATCCCGTAATTATTACGGCTTTAATTTACTTTTCATTTTGATAATATTTGTAATTGAGTAGATTTACTGTTAGACGACATAACTATATTCAATAGAAATACTGTAAAATGTTCCTTAGAGCGGGCGCACCTGAGTTACTCCGTACTGAGAAGGATAATTGATTTTCCAGGCCATTCTTCCTTCCTCTTTTGGTTTTGATTCAGGTGTTTGCTATTTATACCCTTAATTGTTGAAATAGATTCTATCATTGGACAGATGGCCGAGTTGGTTAGTTTCCCACCAAGAGACGAGTCGTTGAGTTTGTGTATTAACTAGTTGATAAGGTTATGGCGCCAGGTTAAGGTTTATCTTAACAATGTTTCCTGGTCACGAAAGTGGTGAGTTCAGTCTTAACTGCATAATATTAATATCCATCACTAACACAATCCATAGGCGTGGGTTCGAGTCCCACTCTGTTCACTACCATTTCCTTTTTTTGAATTTTTTTTTGAATTTTTGGAAACCTAGCTTTCAATTGTCTTCTTACGCTTTATTTGTTATTGATCTCTGCCGCTGTGATCTAATCGTTAAGGGGGTTCAATTGTTTAGGCTTGGCTTGGCTTCTAGGACAATTCAAGTTGTTTGTCCTCGTCTGCGTATCCAATTCCAGATTAGGAAGTTGCTCTTTGGAGGAAGTATGAACCAATGAATGCTCCAAGAAGCTTACCTTGTCTACGTTTCTTCCTGCACTCAAGCCTTTCAGAACGACATTCTCTGATCGGGCATACTGTGCTACGCGTTCCAAAAAGATGGGAGGGAACCGGTAGGTTGGGCAGCAGCATCAACGCAGAATAAATTCCCGAATCTCTGTTTCAGGGTTCTATTCGTGCTGATGTCGGAAGAGCTGGTGCAACATTGCCCTTGGATTGGGCAGGACCTTCCTGGAAAGAGAGAAAGCCTGGGCTCGAGTATTACCCTATGTCACACAGCTCATCCAGCCGACCATCGCAGTAACGCGCGAGAGCCTTGTATCTTACAGCATGACGAACACATGGCTCCTATTCCTGACACTGTGGAACCTGAAAGGCGTGCCTATCGAATGCTCACTGCAGCTTCTGCTTCAAAAACGATCCATGGCCCAGCTAGTAAGCCCTGGGATACTCAAACTCATTGGTTCAGGGAATGAGTTCTCTCGAAACCCCAAGTGACGATGCCACGCAAGTATTCTGATGTTGTTTGAGTTTGTTGATAGCATTTAACCTTTAAAGTCAAAAACATTTTGATTTTTCATCTTATTTTGCTATCTATTTCATGAACATGACTAGGCATTGATTGATGTGTTATTTTTCTCAAATTGTGCTTCACACAAATGCTTCTCCTACGCGACCTTGAAGTTCGTCCTTAAATTCCAGTGGAATTGTTAATACATAATCTCTATTCATTGCTGTATCCATGATTTTACGTTCTTGAACTTAGTCTACGGAGAGAGTAAGAGCCCCTTTGTATCTGAGAGCTATCTCTACCTAGGCGGGTTTCGGAGGCCGACCTAGTGATCCTTCTGATACTGGAATACGTATGGCTGCACTGCCTCAGCAGACTGTCCTACGTTACTCAACCTCATATCTGTTTGTTGAAACGATCTTATTCGATTCAAAATTCGCGCCATGACGAATGCATCTGACATGCATTGAACCTTGACATCCTCATTGGGAGGCAACCCCCAAGCAAGATTTCCAGAAGAGAACTGCTCTGGACCACTTCCACACGTGGTAACATGATCTTCGACCAGGACTCGATCCATATGTAGTGAGATCCACTTTATATCTACAGGGAGAAGCCAAGAAAATGGATCCCTACGAGGCTCAAATCTAAAACAGTGCAACAGGACGAAACATCCAACTCCAAGCCGATGCTCTAGATCTTGCGACACAAAGCTATGATGTTTAACACAGATTATCGACATAAAACAAGAAGCCATTTAAATTCCATACATATTATTTGCGACTCACTATTGCATCTCAGCCAAAACACTGTCTTCCATCGGACAGGCCGACTCATTGGGTCGTTATTGTCATCCAAAGAGATCGTATCTAGGTCTTGATACGTAACTGTTGTCTATTTCGCAGGCTATGATGAACTCACAGCAACTGCATAGAGCCCCACAAACCAGCCAAATCCAAACACAGCAACTATCTCGATCTCCTCAGAAACACAACCTGACTCAGCAGCTCCAGCCAACGCATTCACAGCTAGCAAAGAAGAGACTGAAAGATAGTTGCAATAACTGTTCTTTATCAAAGGTGAAATGCAATAAATCAAAACCTAGCTGCAAACGATGTCAAGAGCGGGGACTTTACTGCTACTACTGCCCATCTCAAAGATCAGGAAGAAGATCCGCCTCTACGCTAGCTGTGACGACAGCTCCGACAACATTAACACCAATAACTCCTCGAACAAGTGTCACGACGTATCATCCGCGCAGTCCACCTGCAAAATTCATTCCTAAGGACGTAGTGAAGGAAATGAATCCATTTGATGACTTTCCTAACATTACGTATGAGGCCGAGTTTCAACCTTGGGAACCAACATCGGCATCTAACCTAACCTTCGATAATAATACATTTGACCCTATTCTGATATCTCCTCTTACAACTTACTCCACTTCTGACGCTACAGGCCAGTATTCCGGTGGGCAAGAGCTTAGCCCTCCAGCAAGCGTTGATGATCTAGACTATTTACTTAACAACTTTGCTGGAAACACACCTCCAACCCCTCATACGCCATTCTCTCTTCGAACACCAGGTCATATTGATACTCTGACGCCATCGGGGCTAAAATCTATTCCTGACATACCACACAGCTGCCTTAACCTAGCTCTGAATATAATTCCAATGTTACAGAGCTCACTACCAACATGCGCATTGGTCTCAATCTCGCAGGAGAAGCACAAACTGGTCCCATCACCAAGTATTGAACACATAATAGCTACTCATAAAGCCATTATCGACTCTCTTTCTCTTATTCTCTCCTGCAACTGCTCACTGGATGAGCATCTAGCATCTATTATTTCCATCATAATTTTCCAGATTTTGACGTCCTTTGTTTCCGCAGCAAGAGAGGCGGATCATATTCCAAACCCAGTCGTCAACAGAAACCATGGTTATCATCCAAATCGACTAATACAACCAGGTACGCCTCCGATGAGCAACAGAATCCGTGTCCAGCTCATCCTGAGTGAGATCCACCGTGTTACGACCATAGTGGATGTACTCAGCACTCGGTTCAAGGAAGCTAGGGGGTATATAGATATCGACACCGGCAGCTCTGTAGCTTGCGATATGAGAATTAGGAGTCATTGTATTTCGGCAAGTGTGTTTGCTCAGCTAGAGTTGGATTTGAGGAGGAGATTGGGAGAAGTTATGAATGAAGTAATGCAGGTTCTAAGGGGAGGATGAGACACGTATCCGGTGTCGACGTTTCCGATATCTAGATTTTGGAGGGGTAGTCCGTCGGATTTGTTTCTGGTTGTATCTGGGAGGTAGGTGTGTGTAGTCAATGGCGCTTGGATTATAATGGCGGTTTTAGCAATGTGGTTTTGGCGGCCTGTCTTTGCTTTAGAATTGAGGTACGGGAATACGGAGTGGTATAAGCGTTTCATTTAAGTCGATCCTTACGATAATTGAAGCCTCATTTGGCTTAACTTATTTTATCACTCAGAAGCTCATAAGAATAAAAATTCTAATTGGGAAAGTTATGTGATCAATTTGTACCACATAGACGTAACTTCACGGGTAGGTTTAATAAAAACAATGGGTTATGTCGCTACGTGCCTCTTTAAATTGAATGTTTTGATTTATTTAATTCCCAATTTCAGTCTCTAACCATGCTGGAATAGTCGGCCTTTTCTCCCATCCATCCAGATAGCTCTTCGGCTCGACACCCTTTCCACTGGGCTTCGCATATATACCGGTAACAAACCAAACTGTCTCCCCCTTCTTCACCGTATACTGCAGAGTAGGAATAACCGTACGACTCTCCATGATGTTCGAGTTTGGATCCGCGTTCACCAGCATCGCTATCCTCTCCAGCTTCTTCGAGAGATCTACGATGCCCACTGCGCCCTTTGAGACTGCGAATGCGCCAACTGAGCCTGGTGAGCGACCCTCAGGTGTGTCGACATCGTAATTACCGATGATTCTAGGCATGGTGCCTTCGCATTTGTTTGAATCGTAGAGGTCTAGATTCCTCCTATCAGGAGTTCGTTCGTTGTAGATGGCGAAAGATCCATCTGCTGTCATGACTTCCCTTCCAGCCTCAATTTTGTGGACTCTGAGGTGCCAGTTGGGCGTCGCTTCCACGGGTGGGATGAGGTATGTTAAGATCTTCACGTCATGGAACGGCTTCCAGACTGATCTTAATACAGGAAGATTCTCCCGCGTGACGATTTCTGCTTCTTCGCACTGTCGTCTTGGTTTCCATAATTCGCCTCCGTCTTCGGATAATCCTAGCTGGGAGGCTAAAGAGTATTGCTCAAGAGTGAAGCAACCGGTGGGTACGGAGTAGCCAAATGCGCTACTATATGCAAATGATCCGTACTTGGCGTGCGTACCTTTCATGGGATATGAACATGCTTGACCGGAGGAGAGAAGGAAGCGATGCCCGCCAAGATACGATGTGATGTGTCCGGGGTGTTTTAAGGGTTTGGTGATAGGTAGTTTTGTGGTGGGGTATGGCTCCTCCTTTGAAGTCCAGAATGGGTGGTCTTCAGGTACAGCGAGGCAAAGAAATGCCAGACATGACCAGTATGGACTGCCTGGGGAGTTGTAGTTCTCGGCGAGATACATGCAAGGGTAGCTGTAGCCTATGGTCAATGTTCCAGTTGGACCGAATATTTGATCCTGTGTCTGCCACCATCGTAGATTTCTGAATAACAACCCCTTTACAATGCCCCAGGTCAATGGTGCCGGGAGCTCGACATCGGCATAGGCCAGAGCACCCCAGAATGAAGCCATTGCGAACCTATAGCCAACACTGCGACCAAATGGGGTAGCGCGACCTTCGAACAGATTAGAAATTAGAAATGAAGTGAGCCTCTCGATATACAAAATAACATACCTTCTTCATCGAAATAGTGAATGAAATCAAGGGCATATGCCTGAGCTCTCTTCTTGAACTCTTCTGCTTTCGCAGGATCCTGGTCGCCGGCGAGTTTAGCATAGAGTAGCTGAAGGAATTGGATAGCAAAACTACCACTGTAATAGTCTTGCTGCCATATACCCTCTGGGCCATCATTTGACCAGCCTTCGCCGCGATAAAAGGAGTTGAGATGTATGATATCCTGCTGGATCTTTTCTTGGGAATATTTGCCTCCATTCTTCTTCAATCCTAGATTAGCAAAGACTCTGAACCAGAGCCAATTTGTATTTGGCATACTGTGAATAGTTAGATATTGAAGAAAACAGCAGCACGGTCGATAACCC